TTTGTTTTCAAAGTATTTTACTTTATTTCTTTTGAAAATAGGCAAAGCTGAGACATCAACAAATGGAAGCTTGGCTATAGATGAAAAAACTCAATGGATTTTAGAAGAAATTGAATCTCGAAGGTAGCTATATAAAGTGAAGACTTAAAAGCACCATTGAGCAAGTATTTTTCACTACTTAAATATAATGAACTACATGGTATAATTAATCATAACCTAACAAATTAATTTGTGAGAATGATGTAAAACCAAAATATAGCTTAGCAGTCTTAATTAAATAGAATTTAAACCCTCATCCCAGGGTTTAAGTACACATTGGTGTATTTGGATCAGTCAAAAGGAATAAGTAAAATGGCATTTATCAGGCTGGAAATTGCTGCTAAGTAGAAGCCAGTCCTAATTATATTGTTACCCATTCTTCAAAGTCTGTAGCCTATGGGAATATCCTAAATGGGAATATCATAAGAAAAAAGAGGGAGAACAACCAATTCAAAATAATGAAGCTTAAATGTCAAAAATATTAACATAAAATTGTGTGCCAATATAATGCTGTATTCCTGGGCATTTTAAATGAATTATGACTTCTACTTTCTGTTTTAAAGCATTTACTTTCAGCAGGAGCTATTTGTTTTTCATTGATTTTCGGTTTATTGAAAAATACAGGGCACAAAGAAGACAAGCAAGGGCACTTTCTGGGAATTGTGATCATCAGGAAGGGACATCTAGTGATGATGAACTATCTTCAGCAGACATAGCTGACTTCCAAAAAAGTCAAGGTCAGCCACCACGTTTCTAATGTATCTTTATTCGAAGTAGGAATTGCTTTGTAAGATTGCCCTTAAATACATAAGCTGTATAAAATAGGAAATTTTAGGGGAAAAAAGTGTTCTTGGAGACTTTTCCTACCTTTGAAAAACTGGGATAAAATGGAGGAGCATTATGAGTTTTACTGCATCTTTATAGTTTTTTTTCCCTCAGCCTTCCTCATTTCCTGTTATAAAGGAACCATGAACATTACGGGTTTCATTGCTCACCATGTACTTTCTGTAGTAGTATCACTTGTAATTTAAAATAATTGAATATAGTAAAGCCATTTTACCATTATGAGAAGGTAAAATATGTATAGTTGAAAGAGTTGTGGGCTTTGCAGTCGATGAGATGGCTTTGAAGAGGGGCTCCATTCAGTGTGATCTTGTATAGATTCCTTGACTTCCCTAAATCTGATGGCGTTTGCTTGCTTGTTTATTGTCTGTAATAGGTAGGCTAGTAACACCTAACTTTTAGGAAAGATAGTTATGATGAAATGAGATCATGTATTTGTAATGTTTTGTCATATAGCAGGGGTTCAATAAATGGTAGATTTTGTTAGTATTGATATTACTATTACTAAAGTGATTTTTTAATAAAAACTAGTTTATATGTCAATATCAAAGGAAAGTTTTCAACTCAGTTGATTGAGTAGTTATATATGACTGCTTATAGGAAGCTCGGTTAAAATGCATAACAAAGACTCATTTTGTTCACAGGTGACATTTTACAGGATCATAAGAAGATCTTTGAAGATGTGCATGATGATTTTTGTAATATCCAGAATATTTTGTTAAAATTTCAACAATGGCGAGAAAAGTTTCCTGATTCTTACTATGAAGCTTTCATTGGTTTATGCATACCAAAGCTTTTAAATCCCCTAATACGAGTTCAGTTGATTGATTGGAATCCTCTTAAGGTATTTAAGCTTAACATGTGAAAAATCCTGATCACATTAGTTACTTAAATTCCCTTGTTATCAGGTTAGCTATAAAATACCTCACCTTTAGAGTTGGAATTGATAGTTGGTGATTTGGAGTAATAGTCTACATCTACCTTTTCTTGGTTTACACTTTATTTTTGAGGCTGAGTGACACTAAACACCAGTAAAGGAAACCTTTTTTTTTAAAGCTGCTGCTTTGATAAGTTTAAGGTCACTCAAAAAATAAAGGTAGTTTTAGGCCTTAAGAATTTTATAGTCTTGGGAAATAGACATGTACCAGTTCTGAAGTTGGAGATGACATCTTGGCAATAGTTGGTTAGTGAAGCTAGTGCATTGAGGAGGAGGGATATTAATGGGGATTTGAAAGGTATATAGGACTTAAATGGGAGGGGAAAGAGGAAATGGTATTTCGTAAAGGTGCATAGGGAGAAATAGAGTTCAGGAGGTAGACACTGCACAGTGTTCAGGTCCTAAATTAAGATGTATGAACTTGCTTTGGTAAATAATGGGAGGAGTGACATGATGAAAGTAATGGTTTGGGAAATCCTAGCAGTAGGCTAACTTAGAGGGAAGGAAGATAAAAGGTGGGAGTATATACTAGAAGGATTTGCTGTAGCTCAAGTCCAAGGTGATGAATTCCTTACGTAGGGTGGTAGTAATGAAAAGAGAAAAAAGTTGATTACAAGAGATGTTATAAAGCAAAAATCAGTAAAATGCTAAGCATAAACCTAACACCCCACATCCAAAGATACCCCAACATTTGGATTCTGGGTTGTTAGAACAATGGTAGTTTCATTAATAGAAATGGGGACTTTTCAGAAAGGGAACAGTTTTTGAAGGAAGTTTCACTTTATAGAGAATGAAATAATAATAGGACATCTGTCTAGATATGCCTGATAAGGAAACAAATGAGATCATGAAATTCTAGGAAGAGAGGGGAGCTGCAGGTGAAGATTTAGCAAAGAGAAGGATGGCATCATGTTCTTTTATCTTTCTCTGCCCTAGTCATGCATGGCTGTTGGCTCTGTGTTAGGTTCAAGGCCATACAGTCTTCATAGTATAGGAACCAAGCTTATCTCTAAGAAAGTGGTAGGTAGTTGATGGGACAGCAGCCTAGTTGTTAACCACTCAAGCTGAATGGAGTACTCTGTTAGGACCAGCAGAGATCCGTTAATTCATTCATTCAACAAATAACTGGCCATTTGCTATTTGCCTAGTAAGCTAAATCACAGGCAAAATACACATTTGTGCTTATGAGACTTGAGGGAGCCAGAAATGAATTTTGCACAAGGTAAATAAATTTGTATAAATAAATAAGAATAGCACTTATTGAGTTATCTTCTTAAAAATGTGTATTTTGCTCCTGACAGTGCTTGCAGTATAGTCAGCTTTTAACATACAGTGGGCATTTTGGGATCTGTCATAAAAATGTATGAAATGCATGCATATTGCATAGACATCCTGTCTTACTCTTGTCATCCTGCCTAGCCTTGGTGTTCTAGTACTGTATATGTGGAGTTAAAATATGGAATTATTTGCTTTTGATCCTTAGAAAGCTCCAGTAGTTACTGAAAAAGTTAGCCATTTAAAAATAAGCTAATGCATAAGAATTTATTTATAACTGATAATTTTATTTATAAGTTTGATTCCATAGGTTTAAAACAGATGCCATGGTTCACATCTATAGAAAAATTTATAGATAATAGTATGGAAGATTCAAAGAAGGAAGATAGTTCTGATAAGAAAATCTTGTCTGCTGTCATCAACAAAACAATTATTCCACGACTTACAGGTACTGTTTTATAATCTTGATTAAATTGTTTTGGGGCAAAGTATAAGATCATTATTTTCTGTTACAGTTACAATTTTTTTCTCAGAAGTTTTTTAATACAAGAAAATGTAATAAGCAGTAAAAATCAACAGGTGCCATAATTTAAGCTGGTTAAAAAATGCTTATTGGTGCAATTGATTTGCTATCAAACTGTTGATAATCTTTAGCCTTTAGCATTTGTGACATTAGTATTGCTTTTATAACTCCTAGGTCATTTACTACTGGCACACTTCTCTCCCTACTACATGTATTATTTTCTCTTCCTTAACTTGTCCCCTTATGTTTCTCCTCAGTACTGCCCTGGCCAGTGTAGCTCAGGGTTCACTTGAGTTTCACGGTGATGAATTTAAAGTGTAGTTTTTTCCAGCCACTTTTTAGTTGCATGATTGCAAGAATAGACTCAGTGACAAGGTGGATTTAACAAGGGGTGGTTTAGCCAGACAAATTCAGCAAAACCCAAAAGGACAAGGAAATTGAGGATGTATGCAAATATGTAATGGTAATGGTTGGTGTGGATTTCAAAGCACAAAAGGCAGTAATCTTTGCTAAAAAGCTTCGGTTGTTTATATGTAACAAGCAAAGCAATTGAGTAAATAATTGTGCACCATTGAAATTTTTGTTTCAGACTTTGTAGAATTCATATGGGATCCTTTGTCAACCTCACAGACAACAAGTTTAATAGCTCACTGCAGGATGATTCTTGAAGAACATTCCACTTGTGAGAATGACGTTAGTAAAGGCAAACAGGTAATAATTTCTAGAGTTATAAATTTCTTAATTTATTTATAAATCAATATAATTTATTATGAATCTTTGTTTACAGAAGAAGCACAAGAAGTAATTATCAGAAAAATATTTGGGGGAAAATATACTTAGTTCTGATTTATAGAAACTAGGGCTCTGGTCAGTGTGGTTCAATGGTTAAAGCGTCAGCCCACCAAAGGGTTGTGGGTTTGATTCCTAGTCCAGGGCACGTACCTCAGTTGCAAGTTCAATCCTCCGCCCAAGTTGGGGAGTATTTGGGAGACAACAAATTTATGTATGTGTGTCTCTCTCCCCATTCCTCTTTCCTTCCTTCCACTCTGTCTGAAAATCAAGGGAAAATATCCTCAGGTGAGGATTTAAAAAGACAACAACCGCATTTTGATGAGGGTGTAAGTAAACAGGTTTTCTCATACAGAGCCAGTGGGACTATAAATGGGATGCCATTACTACTTCCTAAATACATGGGCAAGAACTTTCATAGCAACGTTATTCATAATAGCCCCCAAACTGGAAACCATCTAAATGTCCTATCAGTAGCATTCATGCAACAGAACACTATACGGCAGTGAAAATGTACCAACTACAGTGACATGCAATAACATGGATGAACGAAGTTCTCTTGTACCTAATTGATATTTTAACACCTAATTCGGTGTGTGTACAAAATAAATTACTTCTTTTGGTAAATATATTTCAACCCATGACTATCACTGATGCGTTTAAATTTTCAAATAATAGGACTTACTTAAATCCATTGTTTCAAGAATGAAGAAAGCAATAGAAGATGATGTTTATATTCCTCTGTATCCAAAAAGGTAAGAGCTATTAATGTCTAGATTGTATAAAATAATCATGTAATACAGATTTAAGAATGTAATACAAAAGAAACTATACTTAGTATTTTCAAAGTATACATATACCTGTTTAGATACAAATTAAGATTTCAGTATTTCTCAGTTACCTTCTATATACCATGTACAATGCTTGACACTTGGAGATAGGGTGGTTTGTTTGTTTTTAATGTTATTCTTAAGAACATGATAGGTGGCATAGCAGAGTAATTAAAAGCCCAGATTTACCATCTATAATAATAAAAGGGTAATATGCTAATTAGACCTGACGAAGCCAGGGCCGGAGGGAAGCCCAGGTGCCGGGTGCCTACGGGTGGCCGGAGGGAAGCCAGCCCGGGTCCCAGATGCTAGAGGGAAGCCGGTGCCAGCAGCCGGAGGAAGGAAGGCCTACTCTTTCACAAATTTTGTGCATTGGGCTTCTAGTTACTAGATAATGACCTTGGGCCTTTCTCTGTCCTCAAATGTAAAATGGGACATTAAATTAATGCCCACGTTAAAGGACAGTGTGAAGGTGAAGAGTGCGCCAAACAATGCCTGGCACAGAGAAAGCACAGTAGAAGGCCTGGAACATCACTGAGGGGCCAGAAACTGCATCTGTGAATTCTGTATTTACTTAAATTATGAAAGTAGTATTTGATGCATGTTCATACATTTGCTAAGAAGACATCAGTTATAGTTATGGATCATGATCTGAAGCTACCCAGCAAGTACTCACAGGATTGAAGAGTTAAATGTTATTTATATTTAAAATGAAAAGTCTTACTCCATCCCACTCCTGACCTCCATCCACCCAATTTTTGACCTTTCTCCACTGTGTACATGAATGCATGCAATAATAATAATCAGTAATTTTTTTTACTTTTCCAGTTTCTTTATGCAATTAGAATTAAATACTTATATATTGTAATCTTATTTCCTCGCCCTTTCAGTGTAAATAGTTGTACACTGTTTTTTTGACTTAGTACATCTTTGAAATCTTCATCTAAGTAGTTTGTCATCATATATAGCATCATAAAGGTAGTTTCCTCATTTCTTTTTTAAGCTGCATTAAATATGCTATCATGTAGATGTACTGTAACTGATGGGGATATAAGTAGCAAACTATTACCAACAGTGTTGTGAATAATGTTATAGATATTGTGTACATGTGTAAGTATATCTATAGAAGCCATTCTCAAAAATAGGTTTGTTAGGTCAAAGTGTGCATGCATTTGTAATTTTTATATTATATTCCATTAAAGTTTAGTGTGGTTGGTTAAAAAAAAACGCTGTTTTTTAAACTCTGTTTCTGAAAGATTAACAGTTCTTTGTATTTTCTCCTTTGTCTTTCATTTCACATTAGTGCTGTAGAAAACAAAACATCACCACATTCAAAGTTCCAAGAAAGACAATTCTGGTCAGCTCTAAAGGTAAGCAGAGAATTGCAAAAATAAAAAAGAATTTTCTTTTATCTCCAGTTACTATATATTCCACTAGTAGCCCAGTGCAAGAAGTTCGTGCACATTGAAAGGGAATTAGAGGAACGTAATTTGGACTCACTATCTAATATCAATAATATGTGAGCATGAGGTAGTCCACGTTTCTGAAATTCAATGACATGAATTTTAGCTATTACTTTGCCAAATAAATGGAATTTACAGATATCATTTAAAAGAGCATTCAGCTTAATATTAAAAACTAGCTACCAAGTCAGGTCTGTTTTCAACTTTTTGCCAGCATTGTAAATTGTTTGCAATATCTGCCCATTTGGGGTTGCATGTCATGGTTACGAATAAATCGGGCTTGCCATACTTCGTTACAATTGCCATAGCATCCTGATATTGCTGCTGCATGTTTCTGGGACTACCCTCAGAAAATGATGTAAGTATTATCATTTTACCAATCGGCATATTGTCATTTTCAGATCTAAATTTGAGATAATCCATTAAACCACTATATTTTTCAACTCTCAACTTAGATTGGTTTGCTTTGATGAAATTTATCCGATTGGCCTCCATTTTTTAATATGAATCCATGATAAACTGTTGAGTTAAATTTTCCTGCATTTAAAATAGGATTGAACGTGTCCCGCACAGAGAGCTCAAATCCATAATACTGCATTTGTGTGACTCGTGTCCTTATATTTTGTCTAGTATTATTGTCGATTACACTGCTGTCTCTGAGTCTTAATGCAATATCTGTTCCCCAGCCTTTTTCACCATGTGGGAAAAGAACAGGATATGTCATTGCATCTAATGTAGGAAACAGGATATTGATTTGTTTCATTTTAGTGGCATTTGGATTATTAGGATCTGGTTTACAATGAATGAGCAAGTCCCTTTCAAAAGGAGGTTCTCCGTCTTCATTTCTGAATATGACAGCAACCTCGGTTACACGGGGAGAATTATATCTACCTGGGTCACTGTTACGATCGTATTTAATCGCCATTGTTACTTCTGTGGGAGCAATGCCTTTTGCTGCTGCTTCCGATTGGGCTTCCTTTTCTACCTCATGTAGCATCTTGTACGATTTTGTTAATTCATTTATGTCATGCATGAGGTTGTTGATGTTGATCATGAGTCTTTCTGAGCAGCCCTGGTTTTCTGGCATTGCTAATCTTTTACTTGTAGCTTCAGCTGTATCCAAAATAAAGAGTTGAGCAAACTTCTGAGAAACACCATCCGAAGGATGTAAAGTTCCAGTACGATGATAAACTTGTCTGTGTATTCTAAAACAGTATGGCCCATATCCTGATGGTGATGCAATATTTGCACCCATGGAAGCAAAAGCAAAAGAACTATTTATGGAACGAATATTTTCCATGAAATTTTTACTGTCAGAATCTTCGTTTGTCATTAATCTTTTTAAATATGCCGGGTAATCTGGAAAATGTATATCATTTGGACAGATTTTCCCTTTGCTATAACATCGAGTAAATTTCCCATTGGATGGTTTTTCATCAGAGAAATTTAGTGATAGGCAAAATTCACATCAAACAGTCATTCCACCACAACTATGTTCAAGAATTGCATCCTCATGTACTCCATTTTCACTGAGAAGGCAGTTCCTACTGATATTGGTAGTACTTGTTAATGACTATTTTCTAGATATATTCTGTCATCGCCACCGCTTTCTTTCAACTTCAAAGGCACGTTGGTCTTTAGACATTTTCTGTCAATAACACCGGTGTTTTTCGGCATCAGAGTGACGTTTTTCCAGTAGCTGATGTTCAGATACATCCTGTCGCAGGCTCCGCCTTCTTTCAAGATCAGACGCACGCTGCTCTGCAGACATTTTCTGTTGATAACACCGGCATCTTTCGGCTGCAGAGCTACGTTGTATCATCTGTTGTTCTTTAGACATAGTCCCACCTCTCTACTGTCACAGTCTGAGATGCAGGTGAATGAGAGTCCTGGCTATCAGGCCACTGAGAGCTGTCTGACCAAAGGCTCATTCTGGCTGATTCTGTGGGGGTGGGA